AAGCGTTCCTAATATCAAAATTTGTTTTTCAGATGATACAAAGCTTGTTTAGCCTTATGTGAACCTTCAGGAAATTTCTGTTGTTTGCTGTACGATGCATGGTTTTGATAATATCTTTTGAAGCGACGTTTCTGTGATTATTCTTTAAAGGCAAAGTCTCACACCCCCATCCCATTCCATTAGTTTCCAAAGCAATTCACATCTTATGAAAATGATACTGACAAGGGACATTTAACTGAGATATTCATTCTTTCTTAGTAGGATTCTTCGGATTCAAATGCAACATCACTTGTGTCCTAATTAGCGACATTTGAAGTACCGCTGCTCCCTGGTAAGGATGACATTTGCATGTTGCTTCAGAAATCATGGCAGAAAAGGGGAAACGGGATCACCAAGAATATCTGAGTAAATTTCAGTTTCAGAGTGCTTGATATAGTGGACAGAAGTTTTCATTGGCTACTGTATAATTCTATTGGCTAAAAAATTATGGCATCATGCTATTGCCAGGTTTAACATTATTACCAGTAAGATAAACCTGTTTTTCATCGCAGATGGTCATTAAACATTACAAGTATTGACACTTCTTGTCATCTTAAAACCACCATTGGGTATTCCGTCGGGAGATGGCATCCATTGAACAGCAGGGAGCTGTTTATAATAATTGACCGAAATGACACCAAAAAACCTACCTTACCGAATAATATTACAGGCGAGAAACATTATTAAAGTTTGCTGGACAAATTTTAAGCAATCATTTTGTTGTAGAATGTCTAATTCTATCTGAATTCACCAAGGCAAACGGAATATCTTTCTTCACCATGATTGAATAAAGCTTCTTTTCCTTAGCCTAGACCAAATTAACATACACTTATCGTTTTGATTGTCGGTACATATGCTGAAATATAGCAATTGTCCATTCCATGTTCGGTAAATACGCTCAGAAAATACAATTTATCGAGTTTATCGATGCACCGGGGCACCATCCGCCATTATCCCGATGTGCAAGTCAGGCTAAAAACGCACAATGTCCCGTGTATTTGGTTTGTTTACAAACCCGTGAAACAGCCCCTTTAATTGAGAGGGACGCTTAAAAGATAATTCATGGTACTTTCTTTAAGTTCTTGTACTGTTTTGTTATACTTTTCGCAACAAAGAATTTAAATAATAAATCAATCATTGCAAGCATACTTCTTGCACAATTGTTGGTGTCCTTAAACCAAATAGTAACAAAGAAAATTTCCTAACAGCAGACGACGACGTATCATTTTCTTCTTCTGTCTTTTTGAACTGTTTGAATCATTGGCGCTGCCTTGAAAAAGATAATCAATGGAGTTTGAGTGTTGTACGTCGAGTCATGAAGAAATATTTATACAATAAAATAACGACTTTGTACAAGAATTGAGTTATCAGTACGACGTTTGAAAGAGTTATGCTCGAAACGTCCTACTAGTAATTCATTTCTTGTACAAAGTCGTTATTTTATTGTATCACTGCCAAGAAGCCTGCAACTAGGAGACTCTTACTGTTAACTGTCGCATATTCAGAGATAAGATTCATTATACAAATATTTTCGGGCAAGAACATAACCGTCAAACAATTCAAGGCACTTTGTCAGTGACCATATATTTAAATCACAAAAGACGCATGGCTTATGCAAATTCACCAGTTAAAACGTCTCACTGAACAAAATTCAATTCAATCATGTTGTCTACCATTACTAGACATACCAGAACCATAGTAAAGTCCATTCATTTTCAGCATCTGCATTGGTTAGCCAGCAATTCATTCTGCTTAAACAAGTTGCATTGCAATGCATATAGGCATACAAGAGGCATTAGCTTTCACACGACTATCAACTACTTACATTTGCGATGGGACGATGGCGATCAAAGCAAGTATCCTTTTATATTTCTACGTGACAATTGTCAGTGTGAACAGTGTTTTCATGTAACAGCGATGCAAAGAACTTGCGATGTTGTAGGAAACTTTTCTGTCGACATAAAACCAGAGTCAACTTGGCTGAGCGATGATGGAGTTACAATGGAATGGGAGGATGGACATCGGAGTTCATTTTCTTTCAAGTGGCTGAGGGAGAGGATGTTCCCAAAATCAGAGAAGGAGATAGGATCAATGAGTGATTGTGGCCTTAAACCAGTTACATGGGGGAGCGAGCTTGCTGAAAAGATCCCTAAGTACGAGTTCGTCAAAGTAATGCAAGACAACCTTGTTTGCCTTGCATGGTTGGAGTCCCTTGGAACAACAGGGTTAACGTTGTTACGGAATAATAGACAAAAGTCATCGGAGGCATTACTGCAAATTAGCAGACGCCTGCAATGCTCCTTTACTAAAACACATTACGGGTAAGAAAGAGCATAATTGATATTGATACTTAAGGTAACGAACCATTTTAATAATTGTGCGCCTAATGTTTACAGCGGGTGTAGAGTGGAAGCGAAATACGCAAATCTACTCCTTTTTACAGCGTGATCACCAAATCTGTTACATTTTCCCGTTAAATGCGCAATTATTTCATGTTCCATCCAAGGACCGAGATACCGGGGGGGGCCGGGGGGCCTTGGCCCCCAAAAACTTAGTATTATAAGTAAAATACTTTTATTTTGTAAAATATGGCTGTTGTTCACTTATTTATCAGGGCTGCCCCCCCCCAAACAAAAAGCTGTATCTTGGTCCTTGGTTCCGTCCGATAGCATTAGGTAAGAATGTACCGTTTTCAGTGTGGTAGTGGTAGGGAGTGTAACAGGCCTGTCGGAGCTCGGGAGGGTTGGCTGGAGCCCCCCAATAATTGTCAAACTGTATGTTTCCTTTATAACAGTGTACTGAATGAGAAGGAATACAATTGGCAGCCCCCCAATATGAATTTCGTTCCGACGGCACTGTGTAACGATCATCAGGAAGTTCTACCCATGGGATCATGGAATTCAAATTCATGCTCCAAGTTCATGCTTTTGGATGAAATCATCACCAGTAGCCCGATTTTCGTTGGCATATTGACAGCAGGAGGGAAAATTTCTCCTTTCACGTTCGAAATGCTTTTGATTCTGTCAATGATCACCTGAGGAGGAACTTTACCAAACCAACTTTTTCCAGACTAGTGTTTAGTGCAGAATTAAAAACTAAATGCTGATCGGGTGGGAGATTCTCGGATTCTTTTCCGAGATACGGTGGGGGTCTTTGTCCAAAAGCTGGAATGAAGCCTTTGAATAATAGATCAAGTTGTATTTCTAATCCGTGTTTAGCAAAAATATCAACTCCAGTTGACTTAGAGTAGCACTGCTGTCAGCAATTGGACATTGACTTGATCTGAGATGGAAGTAGGGAGATGGAAGAAATGTAGGATCATTTTGTTTGGAAAAAGAAATTAGATAGTCAGCTTGATCTGTGATTGTCTCATAACATGACGTTCTAAGCTGAAGTCATAACAGACTCACATACATTTAGCTTCTATTGTTCAGATTATAAGTTCAAGTTCATAAGCTGCCATGTTGCTAGATTTCTTCTTCATCTGCACCGTCACTGAATTGTTTAGTGTCCGTACCATCTTCATTATCTAAATTTTCTTGACAATAATCTGTCTGAATCAATAGCTCTTCTGGTCTCAAAAGGCTCCAAATATAGTTGGAGCGTTTGATGTGCTTCCTAATGTTGAAACTGCGTGGAGGCATAAAGATAGATTTTCAGTTTTCTTGTCTCTTGCTAATGTTCTTTAGAAAAAGCTTTCTTCTTGCATCATTCACAGCATCAAGTCGGTTACCCCACACATCCAGCATATGTACTTTTCAAAATCTTTAACAACATTGGCATTCGTCGCAGAAACAAGCCTTTATCTAGTATCTAGTCATGGCCTAAAATAAGCGTGGATCTGACTCACTTGTGGAGTTGTAAATTAAAATTGTGGAACTGTAATTGTAGAAAGTGTGGATTTGTAAATAATGCATGTTCTTAAAAGTGCAGCATAAAATACCAATCAAAACGCCTAAGAAAGAAATGGGAACATTTTTTCAATTTGAAATGAATGCCCGATCCCAGCCTTATGTATTGCACTCATTTTATATAAGAAAATTGCGATAAGAAATAAGCAATGGACAATAAAGAAGAATTAAGAAACTTTAGAGCTCGAAGCTTCAGAACATGCGGAGAAAAATCAATTGCGCTTTATGATATTGTTGTGTGCTATTTTGAAGTAAGATGGTCTCTATATACATTATTGACTTCAAGACATCATCTCAGACATTGCTTTTATGAATTGTTTTTAAAAAAGATACTGAGCCTAACGACCAAGACCGATATTATGATTTTCTGCCCGTGTTGTATTTTGGGGTTTATGTGATATCTTTTAATAGATTTCAGAAAAAGCTATAAAGCAATTAGCAGTTCTGCTGGGAACTTGCTTTTGTTCTTTTTGATTGTGCTTTTTCTTGTGCGGTCAAAGATAAATTTGTATTTTATCTAACTCGGCTTTGTATTTCTATGTTAATTGAAATCTTCTCTGAATCGTAATTGAAATCTTCATTCTGTTTATGAATAAGGACAGAAAGAAGCAAATATTTTCTGAAAGAGGTGTTTTCCGGTGTTTCAAGGGGTGTGGCCGTAAAATAACTTAGGGGCAAGCCTCCTAGTCCCGTTCTAGCCACTCCTTTGTGGGCTGGTGCCAGTGTGATTTGATCTAGCGTAATATTAGCATAATATTGGCCAAAAATCTTCATTTAGCATAAAATCGGCCAAAAATCGTCATTTAGCATAAAGTCAGCATAATTTGGAATCTAACACAACCCCAGTGGTGGATTTAAGGGGAGGGGGGCAACCAGGGGCAGCTGCCCTTTTCTCACCGAGTTGCAGCTAGTCTGGCGCCCCTATTTTGTAAATTGTGCGCCCCTTTCGAAGAATACAAATCAGGTGAAAAAGACTCATAGGTTAGATTGCTTCAAGGATTACCTCAAAGTATACAACAATTACTGTGAAAATTTATTTGCAATTTGAATAAAGAGCCTTCTGTCAGTAAATAAGGCCTGAAATTGTTGTCCTCGACATTTTTCAGCGCCCCCCCCTACCAACTGCCCCTCCTTCAAATTTGCTCTGGATCCGCCCCTGCATAACTCTGGCATAAAGCCTGGTTTCCATTAAATCGCAAAGTGTTGCAAAGTGTCACAGAGTGTCGCAGAATGTCGCAGAAGATTGGCTCTGCGACACTCTACAACAATCTGCGATCAGTGTCGCAGAGATGAAAGAAAATTTCTATCTCTGCGACACCCTGTCGCAGAGAGTTGCAAAGTGTCGCAGAGTGTAGCAAACCAAAAGGTTCTGCGACATGCTACGACACTTTGCAACACTTTGCGATTTAATGGAAACCAGGCTTAAGCCTGAATCCCATAAAATCGTAAGAAGGTCAGCGACAGTCTGCGTCAGTCTGCGTTGGTCTCCCGATTTTATGGAAACCCTTTCTTCCGATCGTTACGACTACGCCGACTGTGAATCGTAAGGGTTTATGTGAGTTCAACTTTCCCGACTCTTACGACTTTTACGATCAAAGAAAATTTTAATGGGAACATGGGTTGCCGACGTCGCCGATCCACTATTGTTAAGAAACAATCACTTGGATGTAATTAACCAATCAAAGGAAATGATTTGGTACGTTTTTGCTTGCTGTTGTTTTGTTGTTAATGGGAACATTTTATTTTTGATCGTTATGGAGGATGGAAGAAGAGATCGGCGACACGTTCCCGACTCTTACGATTTTATGGGAACCAGGCTTCAAAAGAAAAATGTTTCCATTGATCCGTTGTTTATTCGTATCAAATGCAAAAACTTTAGACCAGCATCTGTGGTTTCATTTTGGGAGTAAATTGCGACTTTCCACCTACAGGATTCAGGCAGCCTAATGCAGCCAGCTAAACGCAGTATACAAAAATGCTAAACTAATTCTAATTTCTGGGAGTGATAGCGTAATCAAAATTTGCTTTGTAGGTTACAAAAGTTTTCATTCGCTTTTACTAAAACTGTCTGTTATCTTTTACTTTGTTTCATCATTCATCATTTGCAATTTTGAAATTATTTTAAAAAGTTTTGAATATTATCTCTGCAAAAATTTTTGTTTTTATTTTGCATTTTCGTTGTTTTTTGCAACATGCTGCCAGAATTCAGCCAAATGTTGCTTCTTCGGCCAAATCAATTTATGATGACCAAGGGGTTTGGAGAAACTGCCAAAATGGAAAAATTTGGCCATCAAACCATGGATCTAGATTGCTTTCTTGTTTAAGAAGAATGAGTACACTGGGTTTTCAAAAAGGCCAAATTGCAACTCTGGCCACTTTTGATATTCTGAGCATGCATTAGCCTCTTTCTCGAGCAGGGTTGCCTTGGTTATCTTGCAGAATTTTTGCAAATCTAGCACAATCTTATGACAAATTTGGCGCAATTCCAAAATTGAGATCTGGTGCGTGGTGTCTACATTGCAAACAAGATGGGGGAAAAGATCATGCTTTCAAACTGCGCGAAAAGAGAATAAGAAGAAACAAGCACAATTTGTACATCAGTGAGAGAAGAGTTTATATGCATTCGGTAATGAGGTTCTCGTTTATAGTATCAAAACTTTTTGAAGATCAAATTTAATGGCAAGGAATTTGAGTAATAAACGACTAAGATCACAAAGAGCTATGACTTGTTCTCAGAGAAAATCTATCAAACGAGACAATTGCTCGGATTCTCGCAGCAAACCCTAATTCTGTTGATGAAAAGAGGCTGATTCCCACCTGCAACAAGATAGAAGCAGGTAGGGAAAGCAGCATAGCTCCAGAGAAACTTAAAGGCGAACTGACACGCAAAATTATTTTTTGATATAATGTAGAAAACGATGCATGGAATCTTAATTTCAAGTTTTCGGTTAATTATTATTGTCCGTTTTGACGCAATTCCGCTCTAAATGTCATGAAATTATCGTCGAGTGTTCGACCATTGTCGGCATTTCATGTGACCCAGTGCGTGTGACGTCACAAACACCATGTTTTTATCCCTTGAATGGAAATCACGCACGGACTGCACAGTTCAGTTCATCTTGTTCAATTACTATTCGAGGAAATCTACGTAGCCTTTGATCCAAGATAATGAAAATTTGAGGCTAATTAAATATATGAAGGATATGTGCTGGCTGGTACTGCGTTATGTTAGGAGGGAATTTAAGTTTGGAAGGAATAGGCTTAGCTGCTCGAAGAAATTCTCAATTCTGAAGTCAATCATGCGGACGAATGTAAGAATCTTATCATTTTATCATGAATCTAGCTTCTTTTTCGAATAAATTCAATATATTATTACTTCGATAGGTTATTTCTACATCCATATAAATCATGAACGTTATTTTAGATGCTCATCTGCAAAGTCATAAAAGTACGGTCTTCCACACTGTCGTGTTGCTCAAGTGATGTGAACATGGTGTTTGTGACGTCACGATTATGCGGAAGGCTCGGGCAAACTCGTCCGTGCTCGGAAAATGTTCGGTAGCTAACTTTGACGCTCAATAACTCGAAAACTGTATTGAATATTAAAAAAATAATAATGTATCAGGTATTTATGCTCGAAATGCTTTCATTTGAGGTCAAGTTAATTTTGCGTGTCAGTTCACCTTTAACAAATAGATAAATATTGCAATGAATATGCTTGATCTCGTAAGTTTCGACTTCTGGAAACAAGTCTGGGAAGCAAGGCTGATTAAAGCGAGTTTTTGAAGATGAAAGGAAATAAAAAATAACTTTGACAGAGATCCGAACAAACCATGTAGAAGGGTTCCCATTCGATAACTTTTTGCTCACAAGTTAAGACATCGCTCTATGTTGTTATTTTTCTTATGAACACCTATCCATATATTGTAAAGAATCAGCTATTGTTACTTACACTTCATTAATTTAAGAATTTGCCCAATTAGGACATGTTATTTGCACTATGGTGGGAGTTTCTATATTTGCCACCCCCATGGTGCCAATCCCAGCAAAGTACACCACGCCCAATTTTTAAAAAAAAAAAGGATCTGTAAAAATTTCTTATTTTAAGCTCTAGAAGAGCTGTTGATTTAGTCAGATTATTGTCAAGACAATTTAGATGATGAAGATAATACGGACACTAAACAATTCAGTGACGGTGCAGATGAAGAAGAAATCTAGCAACATGGCAGCTTATGATCTTGAATTTATAATCTGAACAATAGAAGCTAAATGTGTGTGAGTCTGTTATGACTTCAGCTTAGAGCGTTATGAGACAATTACAGATCAAGCTGACTATCTAATTTATTTTTCCAAACAAAATGATCCTACATTTCATCCTTTTCCCTTCTGTTTTGTTTTCGATTTTCGTTGGCCTATTGAAAGCACGAGGGAAAATCTCTCCCTCCGCGCTCGAAACACCTTCGATTGTTCTTATGGTTATATGTAACAAAAGTACAGCCATCGTTCGGATCCAGCTTCATTGGGTTTTTTCGCTTAAAATTTTTTCGCCAGAATACGCTGCACATAATCGTCAAAATCTGACATCTACTAGAATCTCTGGATCCGCAAATCCATACTAAAACAATCAAAAATCCGTAATCTGCGTACAAAAATTTCTCCAATACGATGAATTCCAAACGCGTACACAATCCCCGCATAAAAACGTTAAAAATATTTAAAGGTAATTCTGCTTTTAGCTGGTATGAGAAAACACAGTCGCTTTCTGCTTAGACAAAAGTTCACCATATTTTTTGCATTGACATGCTACCCTGGGAACCAGATTCACTATATATAATAATTTTCTTTTATATAATATATTAATTATAAAAATGATTACCAGACTCTCTATTTTATTTTATATATAGTGAGTCTGGTACCCAGGGTAGCATCATGCATTTGATCAAAAAATTGCATGGATCATGCACGTGAACGTTTTGAACAACAGTAACGAAGCCATATACCAATCAAATTTGCGTGACGAGACGAGACGAGACGAGACGAGACGAGACGAGACGAGACGAGACGACACGACACGAGACGACACGACACGAGACGACACGAGACGACTTAAGAAAAGATAAGACAAATTATTGTTTCATTCCTATTAAAGTTTATTTCTTAAAGAACGGACTTTTCTATGGCTATGTATCCATGTACGTAATCATTTGTGATATAAGTGATACTCCATTGTACTAGGGCCGCCAAGAGGTTATGGAGCATGTTGTATTTATAATTTTTTGGCGATCACGCTCTTTAGATTTGCTTAAAACCACTTATTCGTTTAAAATGTTTAGCCTTTTTAGGTTTTTCTCACTTCAGTTAATTCCATTTCATTACTCTATGAGGCCATCTAAACCTTAAGGCCCTGGGACAATTTGCCCCCATGCCCCTCCCTCAGGCGGCCCTGCATTGTATGCACTTCTTATATGCATAGCTAGCTCGTTGTAAGTTGTCGATTTTTTTGTTTTAGGGAAATTTTTACTCTGAAAAACAAGCCCGCGGCAAGCAATGTTGCATACACAGCAGACCGTCTTGCACTTCATACTGATGTTCTATATTACCAACAGCGACCTGGGGTAAGCAGAATTCATGTCAAGTTTATTGGAAATTACCCTTTACTGGTAAAAAGAGCTCTACGTTAAGTGTGAGTCCCCCGTTGCATGTTCTTCGTAGAGAAAAAAAAAGGAAGGCAAAGGAAAGAAAGCAGACATACGACGGAATACAAAAATGTATTGGAGAAACGAGCAAGAAAGTACGATGAAAATGCAAGGAACAGAACTAAGTAGGGTGAAGGAATTCAAGTATCTAGGGTCGATAGTGTAAGTAGATGGAGGCTCAGAGAAGGAGGTGAAAAGAAAGTGCAGACATGCTCGGGACGGTGGAAGAAAATCATAGACAAACGTTTATTTTTTTTTCCGGTACTCATTTATCACTTTATCTTGGGGAAAATCATTTCAAGCACTGGCTGATAGACAAAGAGCACGAGATGAAAGTTTGATTGCGTTAGAAATTATTGCGAATGAGGACATTGACACTAACAAATAACTACTTACATATTAAACATTGGCAATGAACGATGACAAAATTTTATTGAGAGACTCAGATGCAGATGGAGAGGCAGAAGAAGACAACTTAGAATGTGAAATAATCGAAGACGTCGTTTAGCCGCCAACTAGAAATGAAGTGATACCAGCTTTGCCAATCTCTTGGTCCCGAAAAAAAGAGGAACATAACGATTTTCATTTTCAATGACCAACCAGTAGTATTATTTGAACTCAGCTTATTTTTTAAAGTTAAAAGTGCACAGTAGTTAGAGATTGCCTAAACAAGCCCACCGAGGACCTATACAACGTTTTCTCCCGGTTTAACGAACTCCCAGGGTGGGGGGTACTCCAGGGGGTCCAGTTAAGGTTAAAGAGGTTTTAAGCTAAAATGTTATGAAAAAAACCCTCAAATGGTAGTCTTTTTGACAATATTCCTCAAATGGTAGCACAAGGACGAAAATTATGTCATTGGTATCATCCATCTCTTTGTACGCGCCTGGTCCTTCTTTGACAAATTTCTTCTCCATCGACTGTTGCTGATTCGGGAAAGATAAAACCTTGTTCATTGTCTATAATAAATCGCAAGCTAAACAAAGCCGTTGTGTTATTATTGAACCTGGGCCATTGGGTAGCTATTTGGTAAGACTCCCAAATCGACTGGACCCCCCTGTCAGGCCTTAATGGGAGTCCATTTTTCAACCATTTTCTGGTTCCCTTCAGAGTTCGTTTGTCGGGATTCCACTGTATTTTAAGTAGCTTAAATCGCTAAAATCAAGTCATCCTTTCATGTCCTCACTTTTTAGGCAATTCGAATGGCTTCTTAGGCTGATTGTTTATCTCAATTCGATAGATACAACTGCTACACTGCATTGAGCAGTGCAAAGGCGAGGGGGGAGAGAACTACATGGTGGATGGATTCAAAGCTGCCGAGGAGCTTCGTCTTCATGAGCCCGAAGCATTCAAATTGCTCTCCACCATCAAGCTAACCTTTGGTGATGTTGGGGCTGACAAACTGGGAAAATTTTTCAAGATGTCTGAGCGAACGATAATCAGGTAAGCTGATACAGTTCATTTGTGCTTGCGGAGATATTGCGAACTGACAATTTGTAGCAAAAGAAGTTGCAGCCAAACACAAACCAACATCATTTCTTGTTGCTAGACCCTCTTGTTGGAATCAGAAAAGGGGAATCAAACTTTGTTAGGGATCGGTTACAGATAATCTATTGCAGGAAGAGGAAGGGGTATTCATTTATCTGTGCATCTTTATTTGTGAATAGTTTGTTCTTGATTTACTTAATTTGTATTTGAGTGTTGTCTGGCCAAACATTATCCCATGTCTGCACAAAGTTACTGTTTTTACACCGTTTATATGTTTGCTTGCCATGAAAATGTTCTCCCCTTTGAATTAAGCCCACTCCAATTTCCAATGCTCAACATTCTTTCTTGACAATATTTCGTTTCTTTCTTGACAATAGAGAAAACAACAACCATTAAAGTAACGGTAGCCATATCTCCATTTCGGAGCCGTTACTCTGCTTAAATGTAGTACAATGTATCACTGGCTTCTTTAGTAAACAAAAGAATTGGTCTATATGCTGTTAGAATAAGAATTAGTCTATAAGAATTTGTTGTATTCTTTTTGGCTTTTTGGAATCCATGTCATCATATTTGCCATCCTTGGAATATTTCTTTGAATCTTGTAACAATTGGTAATATCGTCTGACCCTCTTCAATGCATAAAACGTCCGAACATAGATCGAAAACTCTAAATTAGGAAATATATATAAACAAACGAAAAGCTTCAGTATGTTTTGATTGTTTGCTTTTTTCTAAGCCATTTATGTTTTTGCTATGACTTTGGCATTTACCGAAAAAAACACCTCTAGATTGCAAAAACTCCTCATTCTTGAGATAAAACTTTATTCAAAAATTACATTTTACAGTAGCTCTGCCTCAGCTTGCTCTTAGTTTGTTATTAACATTTGACCAATTTTGAGGCTAATGTTCTTATAAAAAATAGTAAAAGTTATTTTAGACGATAGGAAACCTTTTTGTTGATTATTTTGCCATTTATTTCTTTAGTTTAAAATTTCAGCTTGGACAGCTTCGGGATGGTGGATGGCATTGCAGAAAATAACGCTGTTAAAGGCTCAATCATTCATGCCCCTGCGGAGCAAGTGAAAAAGTTATACGAGGCCCATGACAAGTTAGTTAAGATCTTTAACAAGCCAGAAAATGTTGTGACTTACAAAATGGAAGAAGGGGATACCTTAGTGTTCAACAACAACAGAGTCTTGCATGGAAGGGCAGGTTTTGCTGCTACGTCCCCCCGCCATCTTCAAGGCTGCTACCTATCTTGGGACGATGTTTACTGTGCAATCAGGGTGTTGAGATTGGCAATGGGGAAAAACGAAATCTTCTAGCATACCTTAAAACATTCAGAATAACAAAAAAATCCTCCAGATTTCTCAAGAACGTTCTTTTTTGCTTCTATGTTTTGTCAATTTGTGTTTGTTCTGTCGGCAAAATGGCGATCGCCACCTGGCCCCTTCGCTTTTGAAAGCTATAGAAAACTTATTGGCTCTGCCAATTAAAGTTTAAGAATATCAATTTTGAGTTAATTCTACTCTTTCTTTCACTTAAATATCCATATAAAGTTCACAACAATTACAAAATTCACTCAAAGAACAACTAAACATTAATGCTTAATTTGATGACTTCTTTAATGTCATTCAGAGGGCATGATGAAAACTCGGTAAAAAGTCTTTGGTTATTGATTACCTATAGGCTTCCCCCTTAACCGTTTTATTTAAGACTCTATGAATAGGCTTTGCTGGCCCCTGACACAGATCTACAATTTTCATAAAGAGTTTTAATACAAAATACAAAATATCTTGAAAGCTGCATAAGACGACAATTCTTTCTATTTCTTCATCTAGTTCTTTATAGTTTTTATCGTCTTCTTCTAGATATGAGGATTTTTAGCAGCTTTTTACAAAGCTTTTGGGATGGAAATAAAAACCAGTGAATTTATTTTTCCGCATTTTCTAAAACAATTGTTTGATTTTATCTAAGCTTACTTTTTCCCCACTTACTACATAAATGTTCACACTGCGTTTAATTGCCACTCCCATTCGCATACTGAGACGCCAAAAATTACTCTATCATAACAAAGTTAGGTCAATATCACTACCGTAGTAAAGATGCCACCACATTTACCTACATACGAAGCAGTACAATCCCATTTATTAGTCAATATAAGTGATCCTGGACCTAAAATGCATCCCTATTTTACACCTGTTTTGCATCTTCTCAATAACCCCTTTTTTACTTCACTTTTTAATACTTTTATAACACAGTACACGAGTATTTGAATAGATTGCTCTTCAGCATTTTATGCATTGAACATCTCCAGAAATACCATATCAAATATTAATTTCATTTCGAAAAATTTACATGGCATACAATTTGGACGATTTCATTAGAATATAATACATGCCCAAAATACAGAAGAATTGCTTTTCCACAAGTGCTTTCAGTTTAAAGTAATGTACGTATGGTAAAAAAGGGTAAAAAAAGCATCCCCCAGACTAGATTTGATAAAATATCAGATCACTCAGGATAAGAAATTCAACGTTTCTCAGAAGAACACAGATTATTGTTTATTGAGCGAAATTGTGTAGGGGAAAAGCCATGCTTAAACTCTAGTGCCAGACGTTGGGGAAAGTAGGGATGATGTTGCATTGATTGGTAGAATTTTACTTCCTGAACAGAAATGTGCGTCTTCCTTATTTTGAGTGTTTTAAGTAGGCCATATTTTTTATACAGCAAAAATGAATCCATTCTAATGATACAGAAAGTGATTTACTAAATAAAAGCAAATAATAAACAAATAATAGAAATATACGTAAATAAGTTGGTAAATAGGTCAAATAAAATATCAGTTTGCTTTCTTTTTATTTCATATTCTGTTTTCAAAAATAAAACGGTAAAAAACAGCTAAAAACAGATAAAAACCACTCTGCTTACAAAAATAACGGCTATCAGCATAAGTCAACTTGCACTTGACACCATGGCTTAGTGGCTGAGTTTTGTTGCAATAACACAGAAAAACGTAGTTTGGTTCAAACCCGGCTACCAGAGATTTGTTTCCTTCAAAGAAAATGATGATAATTTATCAAAAAAATCATTTTGCTCCAGATTTTTTGGGGGTCCAGTCCCCCTCGTCCCCCCGGGATTTACGGCCCTGTCCCTGGACAACGGCTATCCAGAAGACGTCATTCTATCTTATACTAAGGAGAAGATCGCAAGTTTTTCGGCTGTTCAAAAGTTTGGTCCGCAAAAGTGCCCAGTTTCTTTGAAACTACCATGGATTGGTAACACTTCCTTGCGATTCGAGAGTCAGATTAGGCAAGCCATAACCAAATGTTTCTTTGCTGTCAATCCTCGGATTGTTTACAGTACTAGGAGAGCCCTTCCATCCATTGAAAAGGATTGCGTTCCTACCAACCAAAAAAGTTCCGTCATTTATGAATTTACGTGCCAGTGTGATTCTGGCTACGTAGGACGCACAACCCAAAGATTGGGGGATAGGATAAAACAGCATGTTCCTTCCAACATAAGAAACAAAACTGCCCCTCAAAGAGAACAGCCTCCTTGGACTTGTAGGTCTAGAAACACTGTTAAAACAAGTGATTCTGCCATCGGTCAACATCTTTTAAACAACCCAGATTGTGCAAAACTCTATAATGACGACATTTTTCGGATAATTGGCAGAGCCCGGTCGTCCTTCCATCTAGCAGTTTTGGAGTCGATCTACATACAAACGAAAAAGCCACCAGTAGACAGAAGGAGTTCGTTTTCTCTCTTTGACTCCATTGGGAATTTTTCTTTAGGCTCGCGGCACTGATTGGTCAACCATACCGGTCTTGTGCTTGCGTTTTTCTGATTGGCCTATTTCGAAAATATATGGGTATATATTTTCCATCGTGTTCTTTCGGAACCTTATTCTGACGTTTTATGCTCTGAGGAGTGTCAGACGAAAAAGCTTTTAGTATGTCGTAAAATGTTTGCTTTTTTCAAAGCGTCGATTCTAAAAGACTGAACACTCCAAGAACAGGCTGAACACCCCAAGAACACCCTAGGAACAAGCTATTAAGCAGCTGAACACCCTTTAAAACATACCAAAATGGGCATATCATTCGAAAAATAATTTGGTCAATCAATCAAAATTAATTTTGGGGCGGGAAAGGGCCTGATAAGTCTAATGCTGTTGGTGTTGTTACAACCAACTGATGTTTTGCGCGCCAAAAGTGTGAACGGGTGTTTGTACACGCGGAGCAAATTCGAGTTTGACTCCCTTTGTGCATTCAAGCAATTTCCCGTTGTTTTCAAATCTTTCACATCCAGTGACAATGTCACTTGACTACCTATTGTCCTCCAAAAAATTGTTTTTCCCATCCGCTAATTTGCCCAAACTATTATGTGGTCACGGTATGCTAGTGAACGCTACACACCTCTCTTGTTGTGTTGTTATTTTCCAGGCAGTGACGTCTCCAGCTGGGGCACTCGCAGGCCCAATTCCTGGATAGGATTTTTTTAAGGAATTTTTGACAAATGAAACAGGAAATGCACAGTGTAGGACTTGATAGAGGGTAGCGGCAGGGCCACAGGATGCGACTTAAAAGAGGGCTTAGGAGGGGCAAATTTTGGGGCCTGTGCTCGAATGGGGCCATGACAATCCTACTTAAACTATGTTATATGTATGTAGCAGAAATTGCGTGAGTTTTGGTTAAAGCACAGTTTTAAGGGCTTTTGTCGAAAATTTGCATGTTTTTGTGGGTGTTGCGGTTCCTCTCAGCTTCCTAGGCAACCATATACTGTAAAGATATTATATGGACTGTAAATAAGTATTTAATTTTCTTATTGTTATAAATTGCTAACTAAGTCTCTGGACATAAAACGAATTGGAATTTCAATTTTTTGTTGCCAGGAACAATAGTAGCAGGCGGGTTATAGGGGCTTTAGCCACACAACAATTTACAAACCCCCGTTCACACATTTGGCGCGAATAACAACAGTTGGTTGTAACAACACCAACAGCATTAGACTAATCAGGCCCTTTTCCGCCCCAAAATTAATTTTGATTGATTGAACCGAATTATTTTTTGAATGATATGCCGATTTTGATATGTTTTAAAAGGGTGTTCAGCCGCTTAATAGCTTGCTCTTAGGGTGTTCTTGGGGTGTTCTTGGGGTGTTCAGCCTGTTCTTGGAGTGTTCAGTCTTTTAGAAACGACGTTTTTCAAAGCCATTTTCAAATTCTGTACCGCGAAAAGAAAATTGTTCACAAACTTATTGCTTGATATTTTTGTAATTATATTCTTAATTTCTAATTGTCATACATCTAAACTCATTGCAATATACATTAATGCCGTTAATGCTTTATCATAATATGATATTCTTTTTCTTGACAGTGGTCGGCCCTAAAATAGCTTAGGCTCCAGGCCTGGTATTGGTAAATCCGCCCCTGGCAAGTTTGAAACGGGGGTAACCCAGTTTAGGTACTGCACAAAACCAAGTTGAATTTAGTTCCGCACACGAGAAGTTCGACGTTTTGAACGAGCATGACGAACACACCCTACCCTAACTACCTAATTACGCAAACAAAATAATTACTTCAAACAAACAAAGATACTGATGACAACAATAGTGGCGATGGGATAATGCAATAACATGCATGAATGGCAAGGTGACAAACAACGGAACTAACGAAAACATCGAAACAGCAGGCAACTGAACATCAAGTATAACCAAATAAAACGTCCAACAGCGGTATATTATACAAGTCACGCCATTCAATTCTAAAACCACATTGATTTAAGGGAAGATATGGCGCTTGTATTGAGCAAAATTAAACATTTCAAGGCTCTCATCTATAATGCGAGACTCAAGCAACGAAAATGGCTTGCGAATACTACCTTAGCAGCCGATGGCCGGGTATGTAGTTCCTTTGTCGCAGGAAAAATGCCAACAAGAAATAAAACAGACTTTGAAACAACCAGCGATAGCTTGCAAGTAAATTGGGAAGATGGCGATCAAAGCAAGTATCCTTTTATATTTCTACGTGATAATTGTCAATGTGAGCATTGTTTTCATGCAACAGCGATGCAAAGAACTTGCGATGTTGTAGGAAACTTTTCTGTCGACATAAAACCTGAGTCGACTTGGCTGACTGAAGATGGAGTTACAATGGAATGGGAGGATGGACATCGGAGTTCATTTTCTTTCAAGTGGCTGAGGGAGAGGATGTTCCCAAAATCAGAGAAGGACATAGGAACAAGGAGCAATTGCGGTCTTAAACCAGTTACATGGGGGAGCGAGCTTGCTGGAAAGATCCCAAAATACGAGTTCGGCAAATTGACAAGGGATGACACCATCTTACTCTCCTGGCTTGAAACAGTGGCTGTGACAGGTCTGACGTTGATAGAGAACACGCTTGGAGCAAGTGAATCTCTCGAATTGATTAGGGAAAAGTTGGGATGTGCTTATCGATCATCCCATTATGGGTAAGCATACATAGATGTGCAGGGTTTTCAATAATTTTCGAAGTAGAAGGCTCGCGTTTAAAAGCATGCGTCTATAAGTTTACTAAAGTCTGTGCAGTCTTACTAAAGTGAGGCTGAAAGTAGGCGGCAAAGGTTTGGCGAGTAAGCGGCGGATTTTCGGCAGTTACCGGCTGCTAATAAAATCCCTGGATTTGTCGCTCACTTTTCAAAAAAGGAGGTATTAATGGTTAATTCTGATAAAACATTAAAAAAAGATTAAAAACAAAACTTCAGCAAGCAGTACAGAAGCTACAACATATTAATTGTTTCGTTTCACAGGAGGTTTTGGCATTCTTCAAGTGCTAGTGCGCCCGAACCCAATCTCTCCAGTGTCGGATAGACAAACAAAATTATTATTATTCTGTTCGGGTCATTGCACATGCGCATTATCACTTGAAGCTCTGGCGGGAAGTTCAAGAGTTGTGTGGTCACTGTCGGAACCACTTTGCGAATACTGTTATTAATGCGCATGTGTCATAACCCTGCAACATTGATTGGTTTAAGACCCCGTTTACACTGTGCCGGGTAAATTTTATCCGCATCAAAATTAGTTCAGATAGGGCTCCCGTTTACACTATACCCACGCTATCCGCACGAATTTGAGAGCGGCTATCCGGACAAAATTAGTTCACTTAGGAAGACGGATTAAATTAGTTCAGATAGCTATGTGGTACAGTGTAAACGGTTTTATCCAGATAAATTTTATCCACATCCCCTGCGAGGCTGATTTTGATTTACAGCGAGGCTCTTTCAATAAAGAGAAAGAAGGTGGCGCGAGATGGCGCCAAATCTCATTTCTCGTAAACAGAATCACAGAATTCTGTGACAGAATCGTGTTGCTTTGTTTATTTTATCTGGACTTTCAGAATTGGGATATTCATCACGATTAACTCCAGAATCAGCTTTCGGATATCTTGCTTGAAAACGAGTGGCTATCTCATCATATTTTGTTTTCACCGTCTCCCAATCAAGACCTTTCGCCACCTTTGCTGCCTTATAGTCGATAACTACTTGTATCAAAAGTACTGTCTCTTCGTCAGTCCACGTGTAATTGGCGTCCTTTTCAGCTTTCCTTATTTTGTTTGCCATTTCTATGACGTGTTATTTCAAACAAAGAATTATTTAAACTATATTGGCCTAATGTGCTTTGACAATTTTCTCGGACTTTGTCTGAACGCGAATGATTCGGGTCACGTGACTGTAGTTATCCGGCACAGTGTAAACGGGAGGGCAAAGTGGACAAAATTCGTGCGGTAAACGCAAATCAATCCGAACAAATTTTATGCGGATAAAATTCATCCGGCACAGTGTAAACGGGGTCTAAGACGGTATTTTTCGAAACAAAGGACTGAAGGTTCTTCTCCCGATAGAGGGACCATTGTCAATATCACGTAAGGTCTCATCTACTTTTAACTTTCTTTCACCGTTGATATTCCAGGCGCAAAGCCGTTACGAGCTAGGCGCTCTGTCTGGGATTTTGCTTATCGCTTTCTGTTTTTTGTTGCTATTTTTTATCTTTTTTATCTGCTGGTTTGTTCTCTTTTGAGTTTTGTATAATTTCAACCTGTATTGTTTCTTATTTTTTTCTTATCTTTTGAGCAAACCACAGCCTGGTGTTTCTTATAAGGATGGTTCATATCAAAAACGTGTAGAATGTGGGCTACGAACTGCATAATAAACATTTGATAGTGTATATAAATGAGAATTAGCAAAAAGACGGTGAATGTTTAAAGCGAGGGGCAAATCACTTGTGCACTTCTGGTGGAAATCCTATTGTTTTAATCTAAATATCCCTGAACGTCCTTCCTTTTTGTTGGAAATCCCATCCGCTCTCGTACGCTCTCGTATCCTCTGTGACACTCTTTTTATAATTACCAGTAAATTAAAATTCAGGCAGATTACCCTTAATTTTTCCAAGACTTTGAGGCTGGGTTATTCTAATTTTGTTCTTAAAGGATTAGCAGTGAGTTATCTAGCTATTGTGCTAAACGGGAGTGTTCAGGCCCAATTTGCCAACAAAGTGAATGAGCCATCCTTTATTTGGCGAAAAAGTTTGAAATTCACCGACAAAGCACCCCTAGATGGCAGAATCTCTTCGTTTTTGTGATGGAATTTTTCCAGAGAATTTCACAACTTTTTTCATAAGAAAATTTGTGTATTTTTAATGTTCTCGACTTCGTTTTCTTTTTCATAACAATTTCTTTAGACTTAAACGTGACATAATCGTAACAATAATTGCACTGGGGCACTAGGGTGGATGACATCAACCTTGGAAGCAGTGGCGTAGCAAGAATTGAAAGATCAGAGGGGCAAAGAGGTGTCCGACACCAGAAAATTTTTTGCTGACCATATCCTTGAGAATTTAGAAAAACGCCCCATTCTGTAAATGCGTTTGGAAAAGCTATGGCTTTTTTACATGGCAATGCTTGGCTAATCAAACACAATAAATGTCATGCGTCATATGAAGCTTTATGTGGCTAGCCCTGCTTTACAACTGTCTATTTTCTTCACAGGTTCTCTAACATTTATATTCTGAATTGTGAGGCGAGAAAGCTCTACGTGTAGAAACCTGTCCTTGCGCCATGAGTTGGTACACTAGTCGAATCTTGATTTTTGAACCTCTCGTATAAGAGTTTGAAGAAGAGGCGATAAAAGTTGAGGTTTGCCAAAACCACGTGCGAAAATAATTTGCTGAAGCCATTTTAACATTTTTGCTGCCTAGCGTTGTTTGGTTTACATGCCATAATTTTTGCAAATACTTCAAAGTTTGGTTGCAGAATTTGAAAAGTGAGTTCCGTTCATTTTGAGACTGTATTTTCTAGGCAGGGTAAAATATTGTTTATTTGTTGTCTTCTGTTTTTGATATAAATACAACTGCAATACTTCTGCAGCCCCGTCAAGCGTTGAAAATTAAAACTTTGAGAAAAACTTGTAAGTTATTCAATATTCTTTGAAGCAAGGGTTTTTTCAGACCGCTTTTTATTTTCCACACGTCGCCATAGTGGTGCACCTCCGGAAATCCACCCAAGGTCGCCTGTGAGAGCATAAGCGTACGGGAAGAAAAAATATATGGGGGGGGCGGGGGTGTGCCCGACAAATGTTCTATCGTTTACCAAAATTTTTGCCGTACTAAGGGAAGACTATTATCCGAATTCAAACTTTGGTGGGCTGCAGCCCCCCTCCCTACCCTGGGTACCAGACTCACTATAAAATATGATCTCTATTTTATTTTATATATAGTGAGTCTGGTATCCAGGGTACCCCCCTCCCCAGCCCACTGACTTGTATCCCTTCTAAAGATACCCTTTTACAGGATTAAAGTATTAGATAAACATAATTATATGTAGTTATTTTACAAAATGGTTAGCTGTTCTATGCTGTTAGTTAGATGGCTACAAATAAACAAAATTATGACACCAATAATAAAATAATAACAAAATAAAAAATTAAATCAGCTCAAACGATTTAAAAAAAATAAGCCTGTAAAGTACAACAAGTACACTTGTCTTTAAAAGGTATTGGGACAAATTTTGAAGACATTATTTGCAACAAATTTGGAAAGACTTTTTAAAACTCCTTTTCATTAAAAATGTACGGCAGCTGTTTCCATGAAATTTTCGCAAGACATTGTTGATGTTTTGATGTACGCCAAACAATTCACAAAACATCAGCCATAATGTTTATATAGGCCTTGAGACGTAAACATGGGAGTTCTTAGGAATATCAAGAACTGAATTACGAAGAAGTGCTTGCAAATTGCTTTCTGCGAAAACAACACGAATGGATTTCTTGAAATTGCATCACTTGTTGGCTGCTCAATGAGTTCAGCTTTTGTGGTGTGTGAAAAGTTTTACCTTACAAGAAGAGCAAAAAATTTACCAAGGGTTGGCAGACCGAAGAAGTTTACGACACCGAGAAAAGTCTGAGGAAAGTGCAAAATAATAGGTTTGAATCCTCACTAGACATTATATTGTCGTGTGAAAGGAAGCTAGATTTAGGAACACAGGCAAAAACATGACTATAAAAGTCATAAGAAATGCAAATTTTCCAGCTTTATGAGAAAAGGATGCCTTCTCAAAGCAAAAATTAATCGTCACTACTGTGGTATGCAGCTTTAAAAATAGTTTGAGTAAATTCAATAATTTTAATGAAATTGTAACGTTTTTGTTGATCCAGTAAACTTTATTTGAGACTTAATAGTTTGATTTTGTAATTTTCTTTGTAAATGTATCTGTTTTGCAAATGTGAATCTAAAAAATTGAATTCGTTTGGACATCTCTAAAAAGTTGCCAAGGCCATGTGAGTTTGCCGTTTTAAGGCCGTGCAACGCATTTGCAGATTTTGCTATTATTTATAGGAAAATTGTAAGAATCCAATGCTCTTATAGTCATGAATGGAAAGTTTAAGTGTTTTTTCAAATTTTAATCTTTCAATCTGTGTTGGAAGCTTCTTTGGTTTGAATTAAAGCCCATCTGCATTTTCTGATAATATCTACCTGCAAATTACGAAAAATACCTACATTTCAGGATTTATCCCGTAGGTTATACCCTACCTGCAACCTATAAAAGCCTCAAATCCTTACTGTGTGTAATAATCCCTATCAGCATCAGGTACCATCTTCTACCATGACCCTCCGACTATTCCAAAATCTGAGTTTTGGTTTGTTGTCAAGGTCATATAATAATCCTTATAGGCTTTTTAAACAAAGGTCTGACAAAAATATGGAATGGTGATGCAATGATGCAGTAACATGATGCATGATGCAATACCTTGGAATGTTAATGGCAGCTGACAAACATTGGGATTAATAAGAACATCGAACCAACTGGCAATATAACGTAAAACATAACGTAACGTAACATAACATAGAACACAGAGATACTTTTTGTAAGATCTTATATGTTTTGATATAAAAACAAACTCGTTACACCATCCGGGGTCCAAAAGACGAGGCCCCTTGCGGGCGAAGCGAGGAGAAAACTTTTCCGACCATGCCCTTTAGATTAGCTTAAATTGAATTATTCGTTTAAAATATTCTACTTTTTTAAGCATAATTTTGTTACTGTTAATTTATTCCATTTTAAAACGCAATTTATAACTATTTATAACTCGAGGCCCTGGGACAATTTCCCCCCTTTGCCCTCCTCTCGGCGGCCCTGACACCATCCCCCTCTATAAAAGTAAATACGCTAAGATGAAAATATCTAAGAAAACAGAAAAATTGCAAGGTCGGAAGATTCATTAAGCCCGGAGGCATAAACTGGCAAGCAAAGGTAGTGCCTAATTACATCATCGCCTGGTGCTTCCAATTTTTCCACAACGTCTTTGAAAATAAAATTCAGATTCAACTAGAGATCCTATATCCTATCTACTGCAAAAACCCATGACCAGCACATGCTAAACGATTTCGACAAAAATAACGGTCCCCTTTCACGTCTCATGTTGCACTTCACTCCATATTCATAGGATGGTTGTCCGTTGGTCGGCAACTGTTATTGGTATTTGAAGGTATTAAAAAACAAAAACCACTGTCACTAAAACATATATTTGAGCTTTTTCCTTGGCACGCACACAGAGACAAAAGTCTTTGATTGTATATAAAGATAAAGTTTAATTAATCTTCAGGTCCTCGGATCCTGCGTCCACGGGTCCAGGGATTTCGTAATTTCTTTGGTCGACAGAAGAGAAGCAGAGCTTTTGTCATGCATGGAATTGCTTTGCATGTTGCTAAGTTTTTGACGGGATGATAATGGCGCTTGTTTTGAGCAGAATTAAACATTTCAAGGCTCTCGCCTATTGTGCGAGACTCAAGCAACGAAAATGGCTTGCGAATACTACCTTAGCAGCCGATGGCCGGGTATGCAGTTCCTTTGTCGCAGGAAAAATGCCAACTAGAAATAAAACAGACTTTGAAACAACCAACGATAGCTTGCAAGTAAATTGGGAAGATGGCGATCAAAGCAAGTATCCTTTTATATTTCTACGTGATAATTGTCAATGTGAGCATTGTTTTCATGCAACAGCGATGCAAAGAACTTGCGATGTTGTAGGAAACTTTTCTGTCGACATAAAACCTGAGTCGACTTGGCTGACTGAAGATGGAGTTACAATGGAATGGGAGGATGGACATCGGAGTTCATTTCCTTTCAAGTGGCTGAGGGAGAGGATGTTCCCAAAATCAGAGATGGAGATAGGAACAAGGAGGAGTAATTGCGGCCTTAAGCCAATTACATGGGGGAGTGACCTTATTGGTAAAATCCCCAAGTACGAGTTTGGCAAAGTGACAAGGGATGACCCCACCTTACTTTCCTGGCTTGAAACAGTGGCTGTGACAGGTCTGACGTTGCTGGAGAACACGCCTGGAACAAGTGAATCTCTCGAATTGATTAGGGACAAGTTGGGGTGTGCTTATCGATCAACCCATTATGGGTAAGTATACATAGATGCGCGGGGTTTTCAATAATTTTTTAAGTAGAAGGCTCTTATTAAAAAGTAGGCGTCTACAGGTTTACTAAAGTTTGTACTGCACGAAGGTAGGCGGCAAAGGTTTGGTGAGTAATCGGCGGACTTTCGCTGGTTGCTTATGAAATCCCTGGATGTGTCCCCACTTTTCAAACATGGAGGTATTAATGGTTAATACTTGTAGAAATTATCTAATGTACCCCCCCCCCATTTTTCAGAAATGGAGGTATTCAGGTGTATATCCTCAGCTCGCGGAGATGCCCTTTTTTGTCTACATGCCCCTATTTTTACAATGATTCCTACGTTGATGTAAGTTTGGAGTTATGATATTAGTTTGTTTATGAATGAGAATATCCTTAATCTGGTGAATATGGTATCACCTCGAATAAATGCCCCTTGATTTAATGCCCCCTTTAATTAATCTCCCTGAAGGGTATAAAAATTTCAGAGAACCTAATACGGTGTGGTTGGTAAAAGGGGCAAGCTTTTGAAGTCTCTGTCGATCGATTATTTGGAAATTTCTTCAGAAATAATAGGGCTAGATCATAGAACAGAAATACACAGAAGGTGAATTGCAGATCGGCATCTTTGACGTTTGCACATACAATCTGCAAGTGTCCAGAGAACGAAGAACAGAACACTCTGGGTAATTTGAACCAGTGGCGGCGCCCAGGGGGGTATGGCGGGTAATTACCACTCCAATTTTATCAAACATGGTCTACATATTTATTCTAAAACGGATTGAAAATCGCTAGGTAGGGATGGTTTATATTTCCTAAGGAAAATTAACCTGGTACAAAGCACGGCAACGAGGCAAAAGGGGCGTGGTCTCGCTGGTCACGGCCATTTTCCTCCCACTCTGCAGTAGCTGGCCACGCCACTGATTTGAACTTCTACTAATCCGAACAAAATTCTCAGGTACCTTAAAAATCTCCTAACAAAGCCTTACAAAAAGCTTTTAGTCTCTTTAATTCGAACTTTTGTCGGTCCCCTCAGAAAAAAAACCTTTCTAGTTCGGACTTTCTGCCAATTTTAAGAAATAAGCCGGTGATAAAAGTACTTCATTTCCTTAAATTCCCTTAAATTGTACGTTATTTCAATTTTTTGCTGTTATTTAAGACATTTCTTTCGAATAAGTTTACAAATAGTGTTTTTCTTCATTTACAATTGCTGTGCAAGTTGCAATTATACCGATAAAGGCTACATATAGCTTATGCAGGGATTACTGAGGCAAAACCTGTATAAATCGAACATTTTGTTATTCGAACATTTCCACGATCCCCCAGAGGTTGCGAACAACACAAAGTTGACTGTAGATTTGTGCTATAAGCTCGTTAAATCAATTCGGTGTCCTTCGGTAAATTTTGTTCCATGCGGTGAAAATCATTTTTTGGTAGTCAGTGGTAATCAAATAACATCAAGATTTATCTTCTTATCTTCTTTATCTTAAAGTTAATGACTTCATTTTAAAAATGGGCGTTACCGTCAATTCTCAGTGACCTAAAGGGTGTGACACCAACATCCAATTAGTGTCTAAAACCCCCCTCCCTGAGAGAAAAACTATGGGTTCAATTGCGTCAAGAAGGGGTTGCGGGGAAAGTGTCTTGCAGGAGAGTGCGGAGCAGGAATGAAAGAGAGACGAGAGAAACCCGTACTAAAACTTCCGCAACCTTTACTAGACGCTTTTGAACGCAGGGAAGGAGGGCGAATGGCGGTCGTCTTCCGAAGTTGCCGCGAGGAAATAGAACGTAGAAGCAAAAGGTGCGAGTCACCGATTCCACTTTGAAAAAAGACCAACAAACTTCATGTTTATATCTTCGTTAAGGCAGTTTTCATGCTTCTGGAAACGCAACTTCCGGTCATTTGCCAGAATGTTCCTAATGCTTAAAATTATCAGTGACCTTAACTCTTACTATTTAAACTCAAAACTTTGTTAAGGCAGGTTGTTAGACGGTTATGCTAAATTCCCTGTCTTACTGTAAAAGTCCTATCTTGTAAACCCAGGCTAGCAAGTTGCAAAGTAAGTATGTCACAGAGAGGTTTGTGATTCTAGTGTAATTGTATGGAAAATTTCATTATTATTATTATAATTGTTACAAGACTATCTTAATCGTTTTTCTTAATTACATTTGGCCCGCTTAAAGAACAGGCTTGAAGGATCTGGCCCATTCTCCAAAAAGGTTGCCCACCCTTGATATAAATGATAGTCAAATACCGATAGTCAAATACTTGCTTTGCTATTCCAAGGATGGAAGTTTTCTGGGATTAGTTACTTTCCTTGCAGAATACCATACTGAATACGAAGTTCTTTTTTGAATTATTTCCCTCACTGGAAAAAGCTACACAATTTTTCAGAGCGAAAATACATAAAATAACTTATTGGTACTCTGTCGAACTCTGTTGAAAGCGGTGACTTGTATCTTGTTCAAAAGATCAACAAGGCTCTGGTTTTTGATTCCAGAATTTACTAGTGATGTAACAGGAGACGATCAGTTCAGCATTGTGGTCCTTGTTAGGCATTCACACATGGTTGAAATATTAAACGAGACTTACCTATAAGTCAATGTTTGATTGTAATGCTTTTCTACTATCATCAGGAACGGCGGAATCGGGATTTTGTAGTGACGTAGCTGATCGTATAGAAGAATGATAGTTTTAACTCACGTTACATCGAAAAACAAAAATGAACGAGATGATGCAAAGAGTTTCGAAGAGAGGTTGAATTCTTATGAATTCGTTCTTTTATTGCTATTTGGGGAGAAATTATGCAGAGGTTGGCACGACTGCTCGTGAATTTTAAATCCCTAATTCTTAGAATACTTAAATGAAGCTTAAAGGCTCTTGCGCAACGGGCATAATTTTGGATCATATTTCAAAACCGGCCTAATACCGGGCATACCGGAAAACAAGGACCCAGGACCTTAAGGCAGGACCCAGGAGCGAAGACCAGGACCGAGGACCAGGACCGAGGACCAGGACCGAGGACCAGGACCAGGACCGAGGACCAGGACCAGGACCCAGGACCAGGACCCAGGACCAGGACCCAGGACCCAGGACCGTTTATGTTTTCGACGATGCACTCGCTGTTTCCTTAATAAGAATACCAAGTTATAACATTGCATACCATGAACAATTGTCCATAAAATCCAAAAGTTTTACACATCGAACAAAAGACTGCACATCATTGTAAGAGGGAAATGAATCTGATTTTATTTCTGACTTTGTGTGAAAAACGAAAACTCGGGTCGCTCGGGAATATGTAAATGTACGATTAAACGAAAGCAACGCCTTGAAATGTGAAATACTCTTATTCAGGCCCGTCGGACCCGGGGGGGCTGGGGGGGCTGGAGCCCCTCCAATAATTGTCAAACTGTAGTATGTTTCCTTTGTACTAACTGAGTCCTGGTCCTGGGTCCTGGGTCCTGTCTTAAGGTCCTGGGTCCTTGTTTTCCGGTATGCCCCTAATACCGTACTGCATGAAAATAAAAAACACAATCAATTTATCAAGACAGCTGCCGATAAGTATGCCGGTTGCGCAAGAGCCTTTAAAGAGAGTTTTTATGGTCTATATTTGCTTAATTCAACGTCTAATATTTTATTTCCAAATTGCTTAGCATGAGCTGCCAATGAAGAAATCTTCAAAAAATTAAATGATTTTATCGAGCCTGTATCCCAAGGATTCTACTGAATACTTTGGATCGGAGCTACAGGTATTTGCTAATAAAAGAGAAAAAACAAAGCTGTAGACTTGTTTGATTTGATGCTGGAAAGCTACGTCATCTCTTCAGTGCCACGAGCACAGGCCGGTGCAACGTATTTGAAAGTGGAGGGGCCAAAAAGCCACCATGATTGGCAGCAAGAAAATTTGAGATATGGTATTCCAGGGATTGCCAGAAACTGCACCATAAATACATTTTTTATCTAATGAAAATTTTCAACCTTATCCCGCAATTCCCCAGGTTCCATCATAATGCCTAAAAGTTTTATCTGTTTTACTGTTGACATGAAATAGGAAAGGTCTTGGAACGTTTTAGAATAACCTTTTTAGTGCATCAAGTATAATGACTTTTTTAACAATAAATAAAAAACAACATAAGATGGAGAAGAGAAATTAATGAAACACAGTTTATCAATAAAACATTAACATAAAAGTGGTGTGAACAGAAGAACTATGTTAAACTATGAACTATGAAATTAAAGAATTTTAAAAATTGAGCAATTTTTAAGCAATTTTTGCAATTTTTAAGCAATTAAGCAATTTTTAAAAGCAATGTTTGCAATTTTTAAAAGCAATTTTTGGCAATTTTAAAAAAATGGTGCCAAATGCGAGGAAGGTTTTGTAACAATGTTTTCTTGGTCGGAGAAATATTGACACCTTTTTTGAACTCTCCTTTTTAATGCAGCGAATAATTAAATTGTACATAAGGAACCGAAATAAGATGGAGAAGAGAAATAGATTAAACACGGTTTAGCAATAAACATAAATACATCAACTTAATTAGAACATTAAGCAGTTTGATTAATCTGAGGTAATATTTTGTAAAATCTGGTTGTAGAACCTTTCGCAAATAAATGTTTCTAATGAAAACTACCCTAAATTTAAAATCTTTAAAACTGGACTGATCGTAATGATTTTTTAAAGAATCTGTGGTTACGTCTAGAATTTCAAAGTAGGCACTTCGACAGTGTTCTTTTGGCGGGAAATGATAGTATGCATTGCCCTATTCAAATCTCCTTCTATCATGAAATAATCGCCGTTGCATCAGGGGATAAGGAGCAGAGGGGGTTAAACCATTTACTTCTGGTTTTGAGAAGGATATCAGGACTGTCAATGTGGTTGAAGATTGAAAGTCAGTTTTTGTCTGTTATAATCGGATCGAGAATTTACATTTGATACTTGGGGATTATAGTTGGATATCTGGCGGACCTAGATCTAAACCCAAGACCATCTACAGTAGCTTGATGGGAAAGGAACCTGTCCTTTGAAGGCTTATATTTTAGCCCATTGTATATAGATTGGATTTAATGGTTTTGTCACTCGTAGGACAATTTATAATTCCCTTTCAGTTTTGTGGCCCAAGTTTGATATTAAGTAATAATCAATAAGGAGTAAAAATATTTTATGAAGTCGTCGCTGCCTTTATGCTAAAGAACCATCTTAAGAATAATTTTTAAAATACCGGTCGAGTATTTTTAAATCGCCGCTTTGTAATCTCTTCTTCCATCTTTTAACAAGCTTCAATCTTATTAAATTTTCTTTTTGCAGGGAGAGATTTGTTGTGAAGAACAAACCAGGCCCAAGTAATCTTGCTTATACGGCAGGCTACCTACCTCTGCACGTCGATTTGCCGTTTTACAGATACCAGCCAGGGGTGAGTGATCCTTTTTCTTTCCTTCTTTGCTACATGACGTTCACCCCCGTGACTCACCTCGCCTATCAAGTGAAAAAAATAGTTGCTAAAAGATGATCTTCGTAAAGAATGGGGGTAATGTTCTGCATTTCGCAAGTGATTGCTTTTTTCTTAAAAGTGCACGTGAAAAGGGATGTAACGATTTCTTTAAGATTTCTTTATTCTTACATAATAGTGTTTTCAAGAGGAACACATGAAAATAGGGTACCTTTCAGGACTTCAGAAGCATTTTCAAGTAGGAAGGGGTAATGTGTGTCATAGAATGGGGGTTTATTTCCGAATTTCTAGCAAAGACGCTTCTGAAATCGCATTTACACTGTTCCGTGTTCACTAGCAATGTGACACGGATGCGATTTTGCTCTGCTCTGCGTAACAGGTTTGACCCTGCTACGAAAGCGAAAGAATTTTGTACCGTCATGGTTCCGTTTTTGAACAGGACAGTGTAAACTGGGTCTAGCTAGATAAAGGAGATTTTTTTCGAAAGTTGAGGGCACGTGCCCCTCCTCTTCCCGGCTCCAACACCCCTGGTGCCTATGCTGATATTGAAGGGATATATTTCTATATCTCTCCAAATTTTTAAGCACTTTCCATTTTCAACTATGCACATAAAAGATTGATTTGGTCTGATTCGAGAATGTTCAAGCCTTATATCCTGTATAGTCTAGTACATTGATAACAGGGTATTTTCTCCTCAGGTTCAGGTGCTGCACTGCATTCAACAGGCAGCCCAAAAGGGAGGTGAAAACCATTTTGTAGATGGAGTGCATATTGCAGAGTTGCTTCGAGAACAAGAGCCCGATGCCTTCCAACTTCTCTCTTCTGTCAAATTTTCATTTCAAGATGTTGGAGTCGATGCGTATGGAGATTACAATAAGTACTATGAAAGACCGATTATAGGGTACATTTTATTCTTTTATTGTTCTTTTCTTTTTCCGAATTATACCTTTACCACTTTATTCTATTTGTTTATCACTGGTCATTAGTTGCGTAATCCCCACTTAACTGTATTGTTTATTACAGCCTAGACACATTTGGAAATGTAGAAGATATCGCACAAAATAACCACGTGAGGTCTTCGTTCATCAACGCCCCTTCAGAAAAGGTGAAGAGGGTTTACGAGGCCTATTTCAAACTGGTGAAGACAATGTATGCCCCCGAGAATTTGGTCACATACAAGATGAGGGAAGGAGACATGTTGGTGTTTAACAACAAGAGAGTGCTGCATGGACGAGCTGCATATGAAGCTACGTCACCTCGCTATCTTCAAGGTTGTTATTTTGATTGGGATGAAGTTTACTCAGCAATTCGCGTCTTGAGAAGGAAGCTGGGATACAAGGGATCAACTTTGTAATATTGGGCAGTAATATGTCGTTTTGTCTAGGACGTTTAGGAAATTAAAGTTTTTAGCAGGGGGGCTGGTCTTTGAAGAGCTGACGTTTTCTTTTTTCAAATGAAGTTACGGGTAAATTTGTTGGGGAGATAACCAAGCGAAAGTCTTCTAATGAGTGAGGCGTCACCTCTTCTTGGGTCAAAGGTCGAAGGACATGCGTAATAATGATTGAGCTCGATACACATGTCCTTTGACCTCACACGCGGGGTTTTGTTTTGAGTGACAAGTTTGAATGAAAAAGTTAAGCAGGCTTTTAAAAAACTTACAGTTTTGCCTTGTCAGTCGAACAAACGTCACATATCTTGACTGATGAGAATAACACTGGTGAAAGAAACTGATCATGTTTTTCAGCTGCATCTTTTGCTTGACTTCCCAATAGTTTTATTAAGATTTGATTAGATGTAAAAAATATCGTTACATTTCTATTTCAAACTTGTGGTGTAACTTCCAGTGCTACATATAGAGCCGTGGCTATAACTGGTGTTGGAAGGGGTACAGCAACCTCTTTGAAAACAATTTTCTAATAATTTCCAGTATTTCATACAAGCATCCTTTCATTATTAAAGTACAATTCCTGACAAAGTATTCTTTCAAAGAAGAATGACTCTAACGATGTTAATTTTGTATTTGAAAAACACATATGACGTCTCGAAGTGACATCGCCAGCTGTAGCCTGCTCTCCAAACTCCAAACCTACACCTGCTGCGGCTGAATCTAGGCGCCGGTATTCATGGGCGTGGCCCTCATCTAATTTTTGACACCGTATATATTGCAGGAGCGCCCATGTTTTGCAGAATTTCATGGCTACAACCCTTTCCTGTTTCCTGCTATTTACAATTAGCAAATGTTAAAGAAATGTGACCTACCCCTAACCATTTTTTTTCTATTAATAAGAAAGAAATACCGTTTTCGTACTAATATCTGGTTTTTGAAAGATACCTTTTTACCCTAAAAGGCCTAAATGTTCACTAACTTCATTTTGAGAAAAAAAACGCTGATATATGATTTTGAATTGATTTACTACACGAACTACCTGCGAAGTCAGAGTAAAACTGAAAAACGATTATTTGAAAGCAATTTTGAGTTAACTACAATTTTTACCAGCTTATTTTATGAATTGTGTTCATTTATGAATAGTAATTATGAATTCTTAATTTTTCATTTTAGAATTAGGTTTGTTTCTGTCTGTGTGATTTTCTGTATACTGTTTCCTTCTGTTGCTGTGTTAGATTCTCTGAAACAAATACCTTCATTCTTTAAAAAGGATTTTTCTTCTGGTATTCATCAACTTGTCCCTTGATCGGGGGCCTTGTAGCCGTAGGGCTAGGGTTTTTGGGTTTATGGAAAAATTCAATTAAAAGGTTCCCAACAAAGGTCCACAAATCTTCGTACTCTTATTCGGAACTATGTCAATTTTCATTGCTAGACAGACAAATTTTAATTTACATTTCTTGGCTGAGTTCTTTATACACATGTTACAGATATCGTATGTTCATGTTCTTCACGTGTCGACGGTTAATAGGACTAGAGATGGGATAGGCAAGAGGATAGCAAATATAATTATTGTAAATTTTTAGATAGCAATAGAAAAAGAAAGTATAATAGACTTTTTTTAGCCCAAGTTTGACTAAGAGTTAAAGTAAAATTAAGTGGTATTTATATGTTATTTTGAATTTTACAAGGAGACTAGAGCGCACGCTTTCGCAATAGATGTGGGATAGGTCTGAAAACGTTTGTGTAGCATTGCATTCCACTGGCCTCTGCATTCTGGAAAATACATATATGTCACACCTCTGGTAAATGGGATTGAGTTTTTCTTGTCATTTCTGCGAGACAATAATACAACAGGTATTGGCATAAATAATTCACTTTTCTTTGTTGAATTGTAGAGTTTTAAAGACCACTTCATTGTTAAAGCGTAACTGCTTTAATTTTCTGCTAAGCCCTTTCAAATGGTTTCGCTAATTTGCTAATATAAACAAAAATTAATAATTGTTGGGCCTAAGTCTATACTTCTGCGGATATTTTTGAATCCGCAAACTTTTCTCTACAGATTCAAAAATTTTCGCGTCCAAACTTATTAAGCAGGGAATCAAATTTAAGTAGCTGAATTTATACCAAGTCCTGAATTTTTTCACTGACTCTGACAAAATAGACCCTGCAGTTTTCAAATTCAAGATGGGTCACTTTTGATTTGAAGCGGAAATGTGTCAGATTGATAACGTCAGAGTCCAAAAAAATCCAGAAATTGTGTTTATCTGTGCTTCTTACATTAAAATACAAAATTTTATGAATTTTTGAACCCAGAAGACTTAGAGCTATCGATTAATATATTATTTGTTGGTGTTTACTGTCATTGCTATTTTTAGAAATGACATCACCATAACGCAAAATGACCTTTCTACCTTTCTGATATTTTTTCCTTACTATTTCGGTTTTTGTAAATGGGTATATTTTAGAATTTGTACTTGATTGGGCGTAGTGTGGTGAATTTTGAAAGTCTCTGTCGAATGTGGTCTTAAAAATGTTTATTTTTCAATGGTTTTTTTCAAATTCGGTCGAAATACGTCGTTCTGGAATTGAAAGTATTTTTCGTTTCCTGAAATTATCAAATTATGAACAGAAGAATGCGGTTTCAGCTTTCATGCTACCATATTTCTGGAATGCCCCAAATATTGCGTTTAGAAACAGTTCCATTTGTAGTTTAAGAGAAACCTCCCCTCAAGTGGGTCTTTTTTGCGTTAAACGACAAAGGCGAGTTTACCTGCTCACAATGGAAAAATTTGATAAGGAAAAGAAAGAGAGAAAATTCAAGAATTAGAGAAATTGAAAAAATAGACGAATTTCTGATGTATTCGGAGCTTTGTTTTTTCCAAATCTTTTACATTTGCTAGCAAGTGGCGAGCGAGTCTCATGACGTTTTGCTGCAAATATATACCATCACCAATCCTGTCGATATGAGGGTGGATATAATGAATTGATTCTCCAAACGTATTCGTATAAAAGTGTTGCGCCAAAAGATTCCTTATCTCCTTGGTGATCTCACGAGAGACACTGAAAACCGAAGTGTGACGTCATCAAAAATCAATTTTTAGAATACCTTAATTTTGAACATATAACCTAAAAGAACGGCATAAAATACCTTTCAATATGAAAAAACAGCTAGATTTGTTCAAAATTTGGCGAGATATGACCAATGGAGAATTCAAGTTTTACTGTTGTTCTGGCCTGGTGTAAAATTCCTGACACTTTTGTGAAATTTTGCTGCCACATTTTGACACAAAATCCATTCCTTTTTTGGGGGTATGCCAAGTGTAACAAAAGAATTTCTGTCGGTAAAATATGGTTTTGCGCTCTACTCCTTATAAAGTGTTTGCGATGTGGAATTAAGCGATTTTTCCCGTAAGGAACACAAGTATAAATGCCGACAAGAAAAGATTTTAAACTTGGCTTGTAAAGGTAAGTTTATCTTTGTTAATTACGTGGATAAAGCAACTTTGAAGTTTAAAAACTGTAATTTATCTGTCCTACCTCCTCTCTAATTATCATAAGGGTTTGAAAGGGAAATATCAAGCCTTCGTAACTAAGGATCGCGGAAATTTTTTTACTGAGTACAACGGCAGTTTTTTCATGAATTCATCAAAGGTTCAATTTTTTTAAAAAAATTAGGTTTTTTGCGGGTAATGGTATAAACGTTCGAAATTGGCTTAAATCTAGCTGCGGGGCATGTTTGTTGTCATATTCTTGAATTATGATTGGTCAATGTGGTATGCAGTATTTAGGTCGCTCAGCCAATCTAAGATTTGGAGCCTATGCTAGTGTTGAAGCTATATTCAGGATGCGCAACAGCGTATGAAACAGCTAGCAACAACAACACCAGTAGAAGCTCAACTAAGCACAGTCCACAACAGCTAAGGTGCTACAAGTGTAAAAAATTGGGGCACATCGCAATGCGCTGCACGGAGACTAGAGGGTTTCAGCAGATTCGACAAGGGAAAGCCAATTTTGCAGATATAGGAGAGCAATTAGAGACTGAGGAGGAGAATGACAGTGAACCTGTGGAATATCATGCTGTAGTTAAAGTGGAGGGACACACCACCGAGTTGTTACTAAACACATGCTGCTAAAAAACCATGGCGAATTCTAGCTTGGTGCAGGCGCATAAAGTAATCAACAACAAGTGGATATCAATGCAATGTGCGCATGGGGACATTATCCTACGACATTGGTAAATCTGGAGGTCAACGGAAGGGAGTATAAAGTGAGAGCAGCAGTTGTTGAAAGACTACCGAGGCCAGTAGAATTAGGTAGAGATGTAAAGGATCTGGTGGCAATGAACATGAAGGAAGAAAGGAAAAGAACCAATCCAACGTTTGCTGTCATGACTAGGAGATAAAGGTTCTAGAGCAAAAAGAAGAGGCCGTTTGCTTGGCAAAGGAGATGGCATCGGAAGCAAAACCAGTACCCCTAAATGACATCTTCGGATTCGAGGAGGACATGTTTAGCGGAGAGGGAAAGCCGAGAAAATCAAGGAGACAAAGGAAGGCCTTAAAGAAACAATGGAGAGCAAAGGAACAGCTTAGCACCAAAAATGACAAGGAAGGAGATGTTGAAGACAGTGGTGGTACAAGAGAAAATTTGAGAGTTGCAGAAACGCGATGTCACGTTAGAAAAAGTCAGAAAAGTTGTTGCAGAGGGATCTTCATTATGTGCAGAAATTACATATTAGACCACGGAGAACAAAAATACAAGACCCAGCAAATAGTTGTGCCCAAGAAGTTTAGAAGGAAAATTTTGGAATTGGCCTATGACATACCACTGGCAGGGCATCTTGGACAAAAGAAAACCAAAAGCAGGATAATGCAAAGATTCTTTTGGCCCGGCTTGTCTCATAATGTGAAGGAATACTGCAGATTCTGTGCAGCTTGCTAGAAGGCGCCGAAAAAGATCTGAAAGCAAAGCTACAGCCTGTGCCGATCATCGAAGTAGCTTTTAGCCGCATTGCGATGGATATGATTGACTTGATCGAACAAGCCGAGGAACAGATACATTTCGGTAATTTGCGATTATGCGACATGGTATCCAGAGGCAATTCCGCACGGTATCCAGAGGTGCTTACCCGATATGGAATTCCGAGGGAGGTGCTGACGGATCAAGGCAGTAACATGGCAGATTTGTTGCAGAGTGTCTTCAAGCTGATGAATGTTTTACACATCAAAACATCACCCATGTCATATCACCCATAGATAGATGGACTGGTGGAGCGGTTTAATGAAAAGGGACAGCCTGGTGCCATATCTTCTCTTCGCATACAGGAAGGTACCTCAAGACTCGACAGGGTTTTCGCCATTCAAACTTCTTTTTGGTAGACATGTCCCAGGACCACTTGATGTACTGAAGGAAAGCTGGGAATCAAAATATTGGTGTCATACGCTACTGATATGCGAGAAAGATTGGTGTCAATGGCGGAACTGGCACAAGAGAGTCTAGGAAAGGCTCAACAGCGGCAGAAGCGATGGTATGACCAACAGGCCAGCAGTAGAACCTTACATGTGGGGCAGAAAGTTTTGGTGTTATTGCCCCTTAGCAAAAAGAAGTTACATGCATCATGGCAAGGACCTTACTTGGTGACGAAAAAGTTTAGTGACGTTGACTATGAGATTGATATGCATGACAATAGAAAGAGAAGAAGAATCTTTCATATCAACATGCTGAAACTGTGGAACACTCCGGAGAATGTTTCGTATCTAGCAATTCCCAGAGATGAATCTCTCACGAGCAGTTATGAAGAATCTACAGGTCAAGTAATTCAGATTCATGTGATTGTGGTCTTGGAGTTGTTCTCAGTCAAAAAATTGATGATGGCATCGATCACCCCGTTGTGTACATCAGTAGAAAGCTGTTATCACGGGAGCGCAACTATGCTATAATTGAAAAAGAGTGCTTGCGCCTGCCCAGCAAACACTGAAGGTTTATTTGCTTTGCTGGGCAGGCGCTTTCTTCTGTAGACCGACCACAACCCACTAAAATGGCTAGCAAAGATGCGAAATGAAAATGGAAGATTAACACGACGGAGTCTTGCGCTATGACCTTTGAAATTTGAGCACAGACCAGGGAAGGATCATGGGAATGCTGATGCACTTTCACGCAGTTAAGGAAAAGGATAATTTAATGACATAACT